TCCTCCTCCTCCTCCTCCTCCTCTTCCTCTTCCTCCATTTTTTTAAGAATAGACTCTACCCCCCCCCCGGCGTTCTCGGCCCCCCTTTCGGGTATGTAAATCACATATGATTATGACCACAAGCCCATCCTAACTATGAATTTACACTATCCCAGGGGAGCCGGTATCGGCCCCCCTGAGGTTCCCTTGTAAAAAACGATACGCGGGGACAGATTTTGCTCTAACATAAGACTTGTTCACGAATCCCTTGCAAAAAAACGAGACGAAGTGCACACGCGCGCACCGTCGCGCGCGCATGCCGAAATCCTCCAAAAACCTTCGGTGTCGGAGGGATTTCGCAATCGAGCTTCCAAAAAGCATACAAAAACACAGGGTTTCGCAACACTGATTTGCTAAAAAAACTGACGCGCGAGCTCTTGCGAAATCTTAAGAAAACCGTAGGTTTATCAAGGTTTTCACAAAATGCTACCAAACGGGCTTCGCGCGCGCATGTCGAAATCTGTCGAACGCCCTTGCGCGTGTGCCGTCGCGAGAATCCTCTGCAAAAAACGAGACGAAGCGCAGACGCGCGCGTCGTCGCGCGCGTATGCCGAAATCCTTCAAAGCCCATCGGCTTCGGAAGGATTTCAAAACCTTGTGTCAAAAAACTACAAAAACACAAGGTTTCGAAACACGGATTTTCAACAAAAGCGTGCGCGCGCGTTCTTGCGTCGTCGTCGTCGTCGCCGTCCTCCCTCCTTCCGCGTCGTCGTCGTCGCCTACGTCGTCCTCTGTCTTTCCTCGTGTTCGTCATCGTCGTCCTCTTTGGCGTCGTGGTCGTTTCCGTCGTCGTTGTCGCCGTGGTCGTCCTTCCTCCTCCTCCTCCTCGTCGTCGTCGTCGTCCGTCGTCGGCGTCTCGTCGTCGTCCCTCCTATTTCGTCGCCGTCGTCGTCGTCGTTGTCGTCGTCTTCCCTCCTCCCTCGTCGTTGTCGTCGTCGGCGTCGCCGTCCTTCCTCCTTCTTCGTCGTTCGCGTCGTCGCCGTCCTCCCTCCTCCCTCGTCGTTATCGTCGTTGTCGCCGTCGTCGTCCTCCCTCCTCCCTCGTCGACGTCGTCGTCTTCGTTGGCGGTGTCGTTGTCGTCGTCGTCGTCGGCGTCGTTGTCTTCGTCGTCGTCGGCGTCGTCGTCGTCGGCGTCGTCGTCGTCGGCATTGTCATCGTCGTCGGCGTCGTCGTCGTCGGTGTCGTCGTCGTCGTTGTCGTCGTCGAAGTCGTTGGAGACGTCGTCGGTGTCGTCGTAGTCGGTGTCGGCGGCGCCGTCGTCGTCGGCGTCGGTGTCGTGGCCAAGTGCCATGTGGTACCTACCGTCACGGTCTTGTCTTAAGAGGTCTTGCGACCAAGTTGCGGTTGGGAGGGTGGGATGGTTGCACGAGCAGTGGAGAGGACAGCTTCAAGACGGTCAAAGTCGTCTTCCTCCTCATAGTTCTTCCCATCTTCCCCCTCCTTCTCCTCCTCCTCCGCCTCCTCATCCTCCCGCTTATCCTCCTTATCCTCCTTCTCCTCCTCCTTTCCTCATCTTCCTCCTCATCATCATCATCAGCAGCATCATCAACATCCGTGTCATCCTCCTCATAATCTTCCTTCTCCTCCTCCTCCTCCTCCTCCATCTCCTCCTCCTCCACCTCCTCCTCCTCATCCTCCTCATCCTCCTCCTTCTCCTCCTCCGCTTCCTCCTCCGCTTCCTCCTCCTCCTCCTGCTCCCCATCCTCCTCCCCTCTTCCTCCTCCGCCTCCTCCTCATCATCATCATCATAAGCAGCATCATCATCATCCGTGTCATCCTCCTCATAATCTTCCTCCTCCTCATCCTCCTCCTCCTCCTCCTCCTCTCTTCCTCCTCCTCCTCCTCTTCCTCCTCCGCTCCTCCTCCTCCCCACTTCCTCCCTCCCTCCTCCTCATCCTCCTCTCCTCCTTCCCTCCTCCCCATCCTCCTCTCCCTCCTCCTCCTCCTCTCCTCCTCCTCCTCCTCCTCCTCCTCCTCCTCCTCCCTCCTCCCTCCTCCTCCTCCTCCTCCTCCACCTCCCCTCCTCTCCTCCTCCTCCTCCTCCTCCTCCTCCTCCTCCTCTCCTCCTCCTCCTCCTCCTCCCTCCCTCCTCACCTCCTCCTCCTCCTCCTCCTCCCTCCTCCTCCTCCTCCTCCCTCCTCCTCCTCCTCCTCCTCCTCCTCCTCCTCCTCCTCCTCCTCCTATTCCTCCTCCTACTCCTCCTCCTCCTCCTTCTCCTCCTGCTCCCTGTCCCTCTCCCCCTCTCGCCCGCCCCCTGTCCCCATCCCCGTGCCTGCCGGGCCTTGAGGCCCACGTCTTGAGCAGAAGCCACGCCCCCACACCCCCGACTGCTTGTGGCCCTGGAGGAGGAGGCTTGCCGGGCGAGGTGGGAAGTGTAAGAGGAGTAGAAGGAGGAGGACCCGACAAGGAGGAGAAGGAGGAGGAGGAGGAGAAGGAAGGCCGGAGAAGAAGGAGGAGTAAGAAGAGAAGGACCCCGAGGAAAAGACGGGGACCCGAGCAGAACGAGGAGGAGGATAAAGAAAACACGAGATGGAGGAGGCGGAGGAAAAGGAAAGCCACCCCCCTCGCCCGCTTCCGGCCCAGATGATCGACCAGGAGAGCGGCGGTTGTGTCGGCCAGGCCGCTTGGTTGCCGCGGGCCCTCTGGCAGGAGGTGGCCGGCTGGCCAGGCGCGGTGTTCCCCCTGGCTTCCCCATTTTCCTCCTCAGTCGTCCTCCTGATCATACTTTTCCGTCCTCCTCCTCCTCCTCCTCCTCCTCCTCTTCCTCCTTCTTCTCCTCCTCCTCCTCCGCCTCCTCCTCCTCCTCCGCCTCCCCCTCCTCCTCGAGCGGAACCTTACAGTACTGCCTCTGTTTCTGCCTTGTCTTGTCTTCCCCCCTTGCCGCGGCCATTTTGGTCAGGGGGCGCAGAGGTCGGCCGACTCCCGTGCCCGTGTTATTCCCGTTGTAAACACACCGTGGTATATGTCGCCGAGTGCAAGACAGTACGTTTTCACCCCTCACCCTTTACTTCTAGTTGGTAGCGGAGCTCCGGCTCCCTTCCACACGCCGCCATAGCGTCTCCTTGTTGCCCCGCTTCGAAGGCGATGGCTCCCCCACTTCAAGGACTCCAAGTGCGACCTCTACCTGGATCTCGTGTTATTCCTTCCGCCGCGCCTTCAGCGCGCAGGGCCGTGCTCACCGTGATCGCGGCCTTCTACCCGTTCATCTGCACGGGGAGGCGCCAGCATGGTGAGCGTGCGGTACGTCCAGAGCCACTGCGAATCGTTGGTGGTGCCGTACTCCGAGGCGCGCCGAAGCTTTCGCGACGTACCCCGTCGCATAATTCAAGTGCGCCTCGTCCACGCCCTGGCCGCAGGCCGCATCGACGGCGCGCGCAAACATCTCCTCCAGACCACGGACGAGCGGCGAGCAGTGCTCGGAGCAGTGCTCGGCGCCGCGGCGAGGATGCACCTGCCGTGTGAGTCAGGGCGCTGTCTGGAGGGTTGGAGGTCCGACCAGCCCACCAGGTGCAGGGTGCCGCGCCCGTGGGAGTCCACGTACAGGCTCTAGTCAGAAAGGCTTTTGAAGTACGCGGGCACGGCCTTCGTCCAGAAAAAGTCATCCAGAACTTTCGGGAGCACGCTGCTTGCGTGCATGGTGAGGGGGCCTTAAATATCCGCGAGGCGTCCTGCTCCTCCTGTACCTGGAGAAGATGGCGGACAAGACGGTCCACTCTGCGATCGTGCGCGCGAGGAGCAGCGTGGGCAAGCCCTTCTGCTGGACCCTGTCCACGAGAGTGCTGGCCTGGCCCCTTCCAGGAACATTCGCCAGTGTGGTCCGTGACGGTGAGGTTGTCCGGGGACTGCCCGCGTCCGTCATGCCCATGACGGCGCGGGCGTTCGCGATGAGAGCAAGGAGAGCAGGTGGAAGTCCGAGTAGCAGCCAGCGAGACGGCATGCGAGCTTGCGTGTGATGGATCTCTCGATGGAGAGTTTCCCCGCTTCCTTGGCGCCCTCCTTCACGCGTGTCTTGATGCCCGTGTCGGCGCGCGCTGGCCACGGGTGGAACTGCGGCGCAAGTGCGCCCGAGTTCTCGGCGTCTTGCTCTGAGTCCGTCTCGAGGCTCTCCTGCGCGAGGAGGTCCCCCCTCTCCGCCTCGCCTGCCAGCGGGTCCGTGGAAGCTGGGGCGAAGAGATCGCAGCGGGGCGTCAGCAGACTGCCCTTGTCGAGGAGCAGGATCTGCAGCCGCCGCACTTGCCGCCACCGACGCCACCATGGCGGCGACCAGCCCTCCCGCGCCCCGCGGGGGCGAGCCCGGGGCCTGGCTGTACCCGCCCTCGCGCACCTGGCATTCCTTTCGCGCGTGACTCTCACTTCGCGCCCCCCTACCTTGATCGGCGCTCGATGTCTGGCTCGTGGAGCATTCTCGGATACTGGAGCATACATTACCAGTGGCGGGCTGCGTTTCAATCCCAGGACCTCTCGCGGGTCGGGGGCGACGCCAGGGCGGCGCAGCGCATACTTGTTCCTCCGTTTTCCCGGGGAAGGCGACACGCGCATGCACCAGGATCCCGCATGCACCAGGATCCGTTTCCCGCGCGAGTTTCAGCGCGGGGCCGGAAAAGGCATCGGCGCGTAGAGTTCGGTCTCTGATATTCTCGCCTCGCCCCAGCCACGCTTTCTCGCAGCGGGCTTCTGCTCGCGCGGTTTCTCGCCGTCTTCTGCGCGCGGCATCGCGGCGCGGACTTCCCGCGCTGCGCGCTGGCGCGCACAGCTCTGGGCGTCCACGCTGAGCACCCGCACTGGCGCGGCTTCCCTTCGGCAGCTCGGGGCGTGGCTCCGCAGTGGGAAAACTCGCCGAGCCCCCCCGCGCTCCGCCCGCCGTTGCCTCGCGCCTGCTTCGGGCGATGGCTGGTCTCGGCTCGCTCGGGGACTGGCGGCGCATGGCAGCTCTGCTGCTGATGAATTCCACTCCTCCTCCTCCTCCTCCTCCTCCTCCTCCTCCTCCTCCTCCTCCTCCTCCTCCTCCTCCTCCTCCCCTCCCCCTCCTCCTCTCCTCCTCCTCCTCTCCTCCTCCTCCTTCCTCCTCTCCTCCTCCTCCTCCTCCTCCTCCTCCTCCTCCTCCTCCTCCTCCGCCTCCTCCTCCTCCTCCCCCTCCTTCCACTAAGTCCCTCCGCCCCAACGAGTTGCCGGCCCCCCGCCGCCGCGACCTCTCGCTGCCTGGCGATCGGTGGGAGGCGAGCGGCGAGGCCTTCCGCCCCCCCTGCCATGAAGGCGCCGAAGACCCGCCGTGCATGTGCGACGCCGCGCGACCGCAGCTCCGATGGGCCGTCGGCGAAGCCCCCGGAACTGGCGCCCCGGCACCTGCGCCCCGCCGATCCGCTTGCGCCCTTCGGGCAGAGCGGCCCCCACACTCGGTGGAACCACTTGATTTCGGCCACGGGCGCCCCGCTCTCCGACGCGGCCTGCGCCACGCCCCTGCCTGTTTGCGAGGTTCAGAGGGGCCACGGACTCCCACGCGGCCAGGGAGGACGTCCCTTGCGCATTATGGCGCGGCCGCTGGCGCCAGGCCTCTAGCGCCGAGCGCCGCCTCCAAGCCGCCGCCGCCTCGCCCGTCGCGCCCGCCCTTCCTGCGTTAGCTCGCGTTGCGTGCTACGCTGCCGCGACCGCCTTGTCGCCCCCTTGCTTGCCGCGGGCCCTCCTGCGCGGCCCGCGCAGGCGCTCTGAGTCTCGGGCCCATCGACCCTTCGAGCCCCCCCGCGGGCGCCGGCCGCGGCGAGCGCAAGCACGGAGCGGGAGAATGCTTTCTCTCATTCCCCCCCCCCTCGCGCGCGCCTGGGCCCCCATAGCTTCTCGGCCCCCCCCCCTCGCTCCACCCTTTCCTCTTCCGAGGCTAGCGGCGCTTCCGGCTGCGCGTTACCTCCAGCACGCAGGAGATCTCTGCCCCCTGAACGGCGACGCTCGGCCCGCGCGCACGCCCAGGGGCTCGGGGCCTTCGAGCCCCCCGCGCGCGCCGGCCGCGGCTTCTGCCCGAAGCCCGATCGCAAGTGCGGGGCGGGAGGATACTCTCGATTATCATCCTTTTCCCGCGCGCTTCTCTGTGTTCTGCAGCATCTCGGCCACCCTCCTTCTGTCCTCTTCCTCATCCGAGGCTAGCCGCGCCGCCGCAGGTGCCCTTCGGCGTCCAGGGGCCCTCGTCTCCAGAGCGGCGCCGCTCGGCCCGCGCGCGCGCGCTCGGGGACCTGGCCACTTTGGGCCCCCCTTCGCCCGCGTCGGCCGCGGCCTCCGCCCGAGCAGCATTGGCCTGCGCGGGTGCGGGAGAATGGTTGTGATGATGACGGTGCCAGTGACGTCGCTGGCGGCGATGATACGATGGTGGTGGTGGTGATGGCGAGGAAGTACGCGTGCGCCCTAAAAAATAAGTCCCCCGTGTTCGATTGGAGACAATTGGATTATCGTATGTGTTCGAACACATCCGCGATGTAACGTTTAGAGACCCAACGGTTTGGGATGGGTTTGGGCGCGCGCGCGAAGACGCTTACGCGTGGCCGCATGGTATCCTTCGACAACGTCGGCGGTTACGCGATGACTAATGAATGTTTTCGTTTATGTGCGTGCGTGTGGCCTGCATGCTCTAATCTGCCAGAATGTCCAACACAACATGTGTTATTGTCTTATTCATGTGATAGCAACGAGCGCGCGCAAACATCTGAGCATGTGTTGCTGCATAAACCAATGGTTCATGGTGGCGTTGTGATAGCTACGTTTTGAAAGTGCTAGAACGAAACTTGGCGGTTGATTGCATCGGACATGTTTTGACATGTGCGCGCGGCGGCGCACGCATGTGGCCCGCATGGTATGGTGTGATAGGGATTGTTACAAAACGCACATATCATATCAGCGCAGTAGCATCGCATTGCATATTTTACCGGGGATGGCGGGGGGTCGATACCGGTCAGCCGGGGAATTATTTGATATGGTGAGGTTTTACGGCCGGTGCCGCCGACCCAGAAGGACGACGACGACGACGACCACGATGACAACCACGGCAGCAACGTCAACGACGAGCCTATGACCCTGCCACAAGCTCAGGACATGGGGCGGGCGGTGGAGGAGGAGGGGAATTACGGGAGTTGCGGGTGTGGCGACAATATCGGCACAGGAGTTGAATAAAGCAGTTATCCGCGTTGTTGTTTCCTCTTGGCCAGCTCAGCCTTGCTGTAAGCCTTTGGCCACAAGTCTCGGGAGACTCGGTCAATGTAATCTTTCCGATTACCCATGACAGACTCTACACACACACACACACACACTACCGAGCTGCTTCAATTGCTGAGACGCGAAACAACCATAAAGTGTACAAACCAAATATTTAACCCCGAGTGAAAACTCAACGCATGCGATTCGTGAGCATCACCCCCCGAGATGTGCACCCGCTGCCCTGGGGGAGGCCTACGAAGAACCCCGTCCACATTGAGTAAGGAAACACACGGAGACTCTATCCACTCGCGTCTGCACGCAGAGAACGCGGGCCTTTGACACCTGGAACAGCTCCTGAAATATTCCTTGACACAATTTGTTGTCGAGAAAGACGCACACACACACTGGCCACTGGGAGCCGAGCAACAGAGCTCGCTGTTTGATTACGCCTACGCTACCACCCTTCTCAGCTTCGAGGCGCTCCTCAGCCTGAACGGCTTCGAGGGTGCTTTGGAGGACTCTCATGCGGATTGCAATAGCTTGCAATTCAACTGTATGTATGCGCGCACGCACAGACTCAGCTAGGCGGGCATCTTTCGATCCAGCTGTTGCGAAGCAATCTGCGAATATGTTACCGAGAGCCAGGAGACGCGGTGCCACGCCTCTAGCTACTTGCTCACCCTCGAGATGGAGGAAGAGAAGGAGGAGGAGGAGGAGGAGGAGGACAAGGAGGAGGAGGAGGAGGAGGAGGAAAAGAAGGCGGAGAAGAAGGAGGAGGAGGAGGCGGAGTACGAGGAGGAGGAGGAGGAGCAGCAGGATGAGCAGGGAGCAGGAGGAGGACAAGCACGAGGACGAGAACGATGACGACGACGAGGACGAGGAGGTGGAGGGGGACGTGGAGGAGGAGGAGGAGGAGGAGGAGGAGGAGGAGGAAGAGGAGGAGGAGGAGGAGAAGGAGAAGGAGGAGGAGGCGGATTACCAGGAGGAGAAAGAGGAGGAGGATCAGTTGCAGGAGGAGAAGAACGAGGAGGAGAGCGAGGAGGAGAAGGGAGGAGAACAGGATGAGAAAGAGCAGGAGGAGAAAAAGGAGGCGGAGGAAAAAGAGGAAGAGAAAGAGGAGGAGAAGGAGGAAGAGGAGGAGGAGGAGGAGGACGAGGACAAGGACGAGGACGAAGGCGAGGACGAGGTTGAGGACGAGGATGAGGACGAGGTCGAGGAGGCGGAGGAGGAGGAGGAAGAGGACGAGGAGGACGAGGAGGAGGAGGAAGAAGAGGAGGAGGAGGACGAGGAGGATGAGGAGGAGGAGGAGGACGAGGAGGAGGAGGAGGAGAGCCGTCTGTCTCCTGGGGAGTGGGCGCGGGAGGCGCAAACCGAGGGGGAAAGCTGGGGCCGGGGCTGGAGCCGGGGCCAGGGCCCGGGCCGGGGCCGAGGCCAGGGCCACGGCCGGGGCTGGGGCCTGGGCCGAGGCCATGCAGGGCCTGGGCTGGGGCCAGGGGCCGGCGGCGGGGCCAGGGCCCAGGCCGAGACCTGGGCCGGGGCCAGGGCTGGGGCAGGCGCCAGGACCGGCGCCGGGGAGAGGGGCTGGGGCCGGGGGCGGAGCTGGGGCGGAGGCGGGGGAGGGGTGCTGACCTCCCCTGCCGACTGGGAGGCCACTCCCTGGTCCCCATTCTTCACAGGTGGGGCCGCCCGGCCAGGGTCTCACGACCCCGGGGCCCCCCTGGGAGACCCCTCGGGACCCCCCCCCGGGAGCCCCTGCAGGACCGCCCCGCAGGAGCCCCCCCCCCCCCCCCCGGCAGGGAAGGGACAGAGGGGAGGGGCTTCCCTGTCAGCGTAGTTGCGACATTGTTCGATCCCCGTTGTTTGTTCGATCTCCCTTACGACGAAGACGACGACGACGACGACTATTCACAGGAGGCTGGCGTACTTCAGTTCGGGTTGGGCTGGCTTCGCGTCGAAGGACCTCTCACACACGCCGACTGGGTCGGCGGATCTAGGATGAACAATCGTGCATACTAAATATGAAAAGACAGTAAGTACCCCGACGGGCATCGCGAATCCCGATCTCGTTCGGGGGCGGAGTTTTTTGGAGGTGAATGGAATTCAATAACCAGCAGGTACCAGAGTTGTTGCTTGCACGTCTTTCGACTTTACGAGATTGATTTGCGGAGCGCGGCCATATAGGCCTCGCCGTGCACTTGTCGCCACGTTCTTGCTCCCCTCGGTGATTCACCACTGACGCGGATCCCAACAAGACTTTGCTCAGTTCTGGTACCGCCAAAAGTGCAAGCGTCGCAAAGCTGTTGTGCCCTTGGAGTGGTCCAGCAGAGTGCAGTTTGACGCGGATCCAAATGAAGCCTCGTACCTTGAGACGTTGCTAAGCATGCGATTGTCGCCGTCTCTGGGTGTCCTGCGCATTGCCTCTATAGTCGGATCCAAGTAAGACGTCGCCACTGCGGGTGCTGCAAAGCGTGCGCGCGTCGCCACTTTTCATGTGCCCCTGGGGAGTCCAGTTGATAGCCGCCTCACGCAGACCAAATTGAGACCTCGCTCCCCTGCGTGCTGCCAAGCGCGCAATTGCCGTCAGGTGCCAATGCCTACGGGGGAGCACCGCGGAGCGCAGTCTTACGCAGACCCACAAGAGGCACCGCTCTTCTGGGTGCGGGCCAAGCGCACAGTCCTCGTTTGTCTCATCGTGCCCCTGGGAGATCCAGTGAGGGCATCTCGCCCTCCTGAGCGCTGTCCGCATGGTTGCGTGGGCCGGGTAAGCCCCTGGGTGATCGGTCTGTTACGTGAGAAGGGTTATGTTGGTTCCGAACTTCCTCGAGTTGAAAAAAAAAGTTTTGTTGGTTCCGAACTTCCTCGAGTTGTAAAAGAAAAAAAAAAAAAAAAAAAAAAAAACTGGTGGTTTGCCTTATTTCCAGCCTCCAGGGGGTTTTACCAGGCCCCAGGACCGTCCAAAAGCGACTCAGGATGCAAAACCGGTCCCGGGGAAGGGGTCCAGACCTTTTGGGGTCGACGTTGTGATAAAATCACGACGTCGGGGGGGTGGGGTTGTTCTTATGCCCCTTTGGTCCTCAGGGCGGCCAACCAGCACTAACACGAGCGGTGTCAGGGGCACCGTCGGAGCCCATGCTGGAGTGGGACACAGTGGGCACGCCAGAGAAGAGGTTGGCCTGCCAGCAGGTGGATCACGACAAGTTCGTATCTCCTTTAGGGCCCGCAGAGCCCCCTGTGGCACCTTACGAAGCTCAGAGTCGACGAGGGATGTGCCCCTACATCTCTTGCGGCGAGATGTATTCTGGTACGTGGTTGCTGTAGGATCCTGCCCTCTTCCAAGACAGCTTCCTTTTTGGCGTGTGTTGCAGCCTGTAGCGCGCCCCCCCTCCCCCCCACCCCCACGATGATGATGATGATGATGATGATGATGATGATGATGATGATGACGATGATGACGATGATGACGATGGTGACGATGGTGACGATGATGATGACGATGACGATGACGATGATGATAATGCTGCTGATGATGATGATGACAATGATGATGATGCTGGTGCTGATGCTGATGATGATGATGATCATGATCGTGATCGAGCATGAGCATGATGATAATCATGATGATGTTGCTGATGATGTTGGTGATGGTGAGTGTGATGGTGATGATAATGATGCTGATGAAGATGATCACGGTAACCACGACGACGACTACGACGATGACGACGACGACGACAACGATGGTGGTGGTGATGATGATGATGTTGATGATGGTGGTAGTGGTGATGATGATGGTGGTGGTGATGGTGATGATGTTGGTGATGGTGATGTTGATGATGGTGGTGGTGATGGTGATGGTGATGGTGATGGTAGTGATGGTGATGGTGATGATGACGACGACGACGACGGTGATGATGATGATGAGAATGATGATGATGATGATGATGATGATGATGACGATGATGATGATGATGATGATGATGATGATGATGATGGGGAGGAGGAGGAGGAGGAGGAGAATGAGGATCAGGATGAGGATGATGATGGTATGGGTGGCGATGATGACGATAGTGACGACAATGATGATGGTGATGATGATGATGACGATGACGATGATGATGATGAAGACGACGACATTGGTGAAGATGGTAATAGTGATGTTGATGGCGATGGTGATGGTAATGGTAATGGTGGCGGTGGTGGCGATGATTACGCTGATGCTAATGATGATGATGAAGATGATGATGATGATGATGATGATGATGATGATGATGATGATGATGGTGATGGTGATGCTGATGATGATGGTGATGAGGGTAGTGGTGGTGCTGGTCATTATGATGGTGATGGTGATAATGATGGTGATTGTGATGACGATGGTGATGATGGTGATGATGGTGGTCGAGGTGATCATGATAATGCTGATGATGCTGATGATGGTAGTTACAGTGACGTTGATGGTGATGATGATGGTGGTCTGGTGATAGTGATGATGATGGTGACGCTAATGTTGATGGTGATGTTGATAATGGTGATGATCATGATGAAATGATGACGAGTATGACGATAACGATGATGATGATGAACATGATGATGATGTTGGTTGTGGTGACGTTGATGACGATCATCACGATAACCATGGTGGGCCGATGATGAAGATGATGGTGGTGATGATGATGATGTTCATGATGATGGCGGTGTTGATGATAATGATGGTGACGGTCGGTGATGGTGGTGGTAATGGTGATGTTGATTGTGATGGTGTTGGTGCTGGTGATGATGATGATGATGATGATGCTGAGCGTGATGTTGATGATGATGCTGATGTTGATGATCACGACGGCGATGATGATGGTTTGTGATGATGATGATGAGGAGGAGGAGGATGCCGATGATGATGATCACCGTCATCTGCATCATCGGCATCAGCATCCTCATCATCATCCATCAACATCAGCAGCATCATCATCACCATCATCAACAACGTCATCATCCCCCCCTCTGCCCACGCCTTGCAAGAGACGCCTAGCGCAGCAGTGGCGGCGAAAGTGGCGGCGGCGCGATACCCCTCAGGCCAGCAGCTACAGGGCGACCGCTGGTCCTTCCCCCTCGGCTGCCACGCCGAGGTCGTCAGCAGGCTGGCCAGCAGAGGCTGGAGGTGCTCCCATCCTGTTCTGCCGGTATTTCCTCCCCCTCTTCCCCCTGCTCCTCCTCCTCCCTCCACCCTCCTGTCGCAATTCTATCGTAGATTTGTTGTCCAGGCCACAGTTCATAGCATGAGGTTGCCTATTGGAGGTCGGCTTGTGAGGCGGTCCTTCTGTAGGGGAGCATTGTTTGTTCCAAGATTCAGATTTCGCGACAACCAATTTGGTGCGGTCATACAAAAGGGCTCTGAGGCAAGGCACACCATTGATGACGCTGCATTGAGTGCAAGGCATCATCTGCAATGCAAGCTGAAAGCGTCGCGCGGCAAATCAGAGGTTAACACGTCAAGGATGTTGTTTCAGCCGATTGATGGGCTGGGGTATGGGAGGGGCATCCGCTCTCTCACCAGATGTTCAGACGAGCAACGTTCAAGAATCAAGAAGACACGTGCGTATAATCGACCGAATTCATGACGAAGCAGAGCACCAAAGGCGGACGGCGATCGCTTACAGCACTGAGTGTGATTCCTGTTATTTCGTTCGGTCTCGTGGGCGTGCTCTCCATCACGGCTGTTTTGGTTCAAGCACGACGCCGTGGTCGTGGCCGAAAGGAGAGCGGTTGCAGTCGGGTGGGACGCCCCAGATATCGTGAAGGCCTTAAAGCTAGTGCCGCCGCCCCTTTATGCGAGGAGGACTGGGAGATGGAACGGGTGGACGAGGAGGGGAGGGGCCTCTTGAGTCTTCCTGGGCCTCTTGGGGATATCTTGGGAGCCTCTTGAGGGCCTCTTGGGTCTTCTGGGGGCCTCTTTGGGGCCTCTTGGACCCTCTTGGGGCCTCCTGGGGGGCTCAAGGGCCGAAGGTTCCAAAGCTCCTTTCGAGTCCCCTGTGTGGGCACGCTCTGGGAGCCGTCTTGGGGGCCTCTTGGGCCGTCTTGAAGACATCTTGGGCTGTCCGGGGGCCCTCTTGGGTCGATTCGTGGCCCTCTTCGAGACTTCGGGGGCGATCTTTGGGCGACCGTGGAGGCCTCTTGGGCCGTCTTGGAGCGTCGGGAAGCCGAGAAGGCGAGACTAACCAAATCTCCCAAGCAGAAAATTATGATTTTACCTTTTAGGACCCTTTTCGGACTGCTCTTGGAGGCCTCGTGGAGCGTCTGGGAGGTATCTTGGACCGTCTGGAGGCCATCTGTGGAGTATGGGACGGAACTGTCTTGGAGGCCTCTAGGTGCACTCGTCGCCCGTCTTGGGCGTTTTGGGCCCCGGACCCCCACAGGGTGGAATGGTGTTCTGACCCGGGAACCCCCCAGGGACCCCACATCGACACCCCCCCCCCAGGACCCCCCCCCCAAGGACCCCCCGCCCCCGCAGCGGGTCAGGGATCAAAGGGAAGGGGCTTCCCTTCGACTCAACTACGAAGTTGCTCAGTTTCGCTTTGGCTGGCGCGCTTGAGGAGGAGGGCCCAGGGAAAAGATGGGGAGCAGCGACAGCGACGGTGACGGCGACAGCGACGGCGGCGGCGACGGCGGCGACGACGACGACGACCACGACGACGACAACGACGAACGGAAGAGCGTCTTCCACACCCCGACAGGGTCGGCGTATTTGAAGTCACGATTCAATGAGGGTGTGGCTTGCATGCTTGGCCGCCGCAGGTGACACAGCCTTTGGATTCGACGTGCAGGCGTTCAGGCCAGCGCCCGAGTCTTGGAAGAGGACGCAGTGCGGTGGCCCCAGCGGCAGCGCCGAGATCCCCACGAAGTGGGGCCTTGAGGTGGGGCCTTCGGCGCAGCCGCTGACTGCCTACCCCCGGCCCCAGATGGTCCGCCGTGCCGGAAACGCCCCGGGCTCCGGCCCACTCTCCGCCCTCCGCGACGCCGGAGACCCGGACACGTGGGCCAACCTCAACGGCCTGTGGGAGTGGGAGAAGGCCCGCCCCGACGAGTCGAGGGCGTGGGGGGGGGGCAGAGGGACGCTCTCCGAGTGTGCCAGAGCGCTCTGGATTGGCCGTGGGCCGTGGCTCCCGATACGTCCTCCAGACCAACCAGCTCTCAGATGTCCCTGGCAGATCTCGATCTCACCGTGTCGTCCTCCTGCGCTCGCCTTGAGAAGAGGTCGGGCAGGATCGGGCTTGTGCCTCGCCATGGGGAGCTGCCCGCCCGCCCGCTGCCTGCCCGCCCGAGGGCGGGCAGCGGACGTCTGGGGCTGAGCGGCGTCACTGCCCAGCCGGCCGTTTGTCGTCGCTCTTCGTCCTCATCCTTGCTCTCGTCGTCGTCGTCGAAGCTCGTCGTCATCGATCCGCGTCGTCGTCGTCGCCCGCCCCGCCTCTTCCCACAGGCTGAGTCCGACGTGCCGCCCGTCGGCCGAGTGCTCGCGGGCTCCATCCTCGTGCCCTTCCCGGTAGAGTCGTGCCTCAGCGGGGTGGCGCCGCAGAGGAGCACAAACGTTGCCGGAGAACTGATGCGCACATCCGTAAGTGTAGCCAGCGCAGGGAGCACCAACGAACAGAACAGGACAGAACATAACAAGGGCTGATGGTTGGGCGATCAGGCGCGAACAGGCCTCAATGAAAGCTAGCGGAATGGGAGTCGAATGGGGTGAACAGGAATGGAGTGGAACGGAATTTTGCAAACGAGTGAGACTCCAGAGTGAACCCGCAAAGTAATTTTGCAACGCTCCACTTTAATGCAATCCAGACGTACCAAAACCAATGTCCACGTAATCGCTTGTGCTGTTGCAGAGGAGCGCCGACATCGTCGAGCGGATGTGGTACCGGCTCACCTTCGACTCGAGCAATGTAGTGAAGGATGGGTTCCGGACATTGTTGCATTTCGGTGCAGTGGACTGGCAAGCAAGCATATACTTCAACGGAGTTTTGCTCGGCAATCATACGGGCGCATATGACGGCTTCTCATTCGACATCACAGATTCGGCCAACAAACACGGTAATGAACTTATTGTTTATGTATTCGACCCTAGTGATCGCGGTGCTCAGCCGAACGGCAAGCAGAAGATTTCTGCAATTGACAAGCCAGGGGGAGACCAATACACGCCGAGTTCGGGCATTTGGCAGACTGTGTGGTTGGAGAGCGTACCAATGCACTACATCATGGACTTGAAGATCAACCAGGCATCACTGCACAGTGTCAGTATCGAGGCTGCCGTTAACGGCATTGGCTATGGCGCTGGCGAGATTGATGTGGACGTCCTCGAGGAGGGTTCCGTCATCGCCTCAGGACGAGGCACCGTTGGAAAGGCGATCATCGTTGAAGTGCCGTCGCCAGCGTTGTGGTCTCCCGAGCGCCCCAAGCTCTATGACTTGAAGGTACGCTCTGCCGTCCAGGCCCCTCAGATTGCTGTGGATACTGTAATTTCTTATTTCGGACTACGCACAATTACAATTGGTCCACAGCCTGGTGCAATTCATACGTCCCTCCGACCACTGCTCAATAATAAGTTCACTTTCTTTGCCGGTTTCTTGGACCAGTCATGGTGGCCAGATGGGCAGTACACTGCACCCACCGATGAGGCATTGGCATACGATTTGGAGGCGACAAAGATGTTCGGAATGAATATGATACGATTGCACCAAAAGGTAAACCCCGAGAGGTGGTATTACCATGCTGACAGACTTGGCCTGGCAATATTTCAAGATATGCCACAAAAGTATGGAGGTGCAGTCAATGAAACTATCCCACTTTTCGTGGAAGATATGAAGAGCATGATATCAGGACGCGGGAACCACCCTTGTATCATTCAGTGGACGACATTCAACGAGGGAGACTGTGTAGGGGTGTTCAAAACCCCTCCCAATGATGTCAAGTCAATTACGCAACTTGCTAAGCGGTTGGACTCTACACGTTTAGTGGATACAAATTCAGGTGGTCCTGCGAACAATCTGCACATCGCTGATGTGAACGACATTCACTCATACCCTTTTCCTGGCGACCCGATGCCTTCTGCATCTCAGTACGCAATGGTTGGCGAGTTTGGGGGCATCGGTGCTTTCATCCAAGGCAAAGAGTGGGTGCCTGGCCTTTGCCACACGTACCTAAAGGCAGCTAACAGCTCCGATGAGGCTACGAAGTACATCCAAATGGCTTCGTCATTGCAATCACGCGCCGACCACATCAGCGCGTCTGTCTACACTCAGACCACGGATGTTGAGCTCGAGTGCGATGGTTTCCTGAATTACGACCGTTCGAACAAGTTTAGCGTCGCCGAGACCAAAGCCATTCACGACGCGAACCAGGCCTTGGTGGGTGCTTCTGGTGGTCAAGTGTATGACAAGCAGTTGCGCCTGCAACAAGCTGCACCAGGGGGGATGGTTTTTGTTTGAGCACAGCCGGCAATGCTCTCCAGAAGCAGCTTTGGCACCGATCTTACAGCATTTGCACTAGCCGTCGCATGACATTGTGAGTAGTGTTAGAAGCACGCCTTCGCAGTACCAGTATTTGCATGTGTCTGACGACAACATTTGAAGTAATGGGCTACGGCGAAAAGCTGGCCTCATGATGTGGTTCATTCTCACGACCAGCAAGTAACAAGCAAGTCTTGTATTGTCAAGCCTTTATGTCGTTCGGCTCTTTGCACCAGGGGGGGCATACCTCCAAACACAAACATGCGCTCTTGCAACAAGGAAGTCAAATTTGCGGATCCCCATCCCCTATAAGTGGACTTGTGCGGTGCCGACAATATCGATTGACGGTAAGGTTTTTGTTGTTGTGTTTTATTCGACCGGCGTGAAGCGGAGTTTCGATTGAGGCCGATCCGGCTCGATTCCGACTCTGTACCATTGCGTCCCGCTCAGAAGCACGTTCCGATCCGACCGATTTTCCGATTCGATGTTGATTGAGCCATGGACCTCACGCACAGTGATGAGAAAGCGAAAGAAAAGGACTGGCGGGACAGGTCGCTGCGGATGATGGCAAAAGCACCCGACCACCGCGGATTGATGACAGAAGCGGCAGCCGCGGAAGGCGCTTGGGAAGGCGTGGCCACGGCCTCACGTCCCAGCGTGTCAGTCGACGAAGCACTGGCATGTCGGTTCGTGCGAGAGGGGTTGATTGGGAAGGGGGGGATACGGAAGTTGCTGCATGCGGCTGGTTTCAGCCCCGCCGCCAGACGCGTGCCTCGATACCTTGGCTCCTGGCGCCTCTTGACGCCGGGAGGCGCCAGAAAATCAGCCACAGGCAGCCGACTCGCTAGCCCCTTCTAGATCCTCTCGTCCGTCCGACCCGAACATCAGCTTGCTCGATAGTAAAATCAGGGGGTTCTCGCATGCCCTCGCATTTCCGTCTTTAGATTGCACTGGCGTGCGCCACCGTCTGGTAATTTGTACCCAAAAGCGCCGATCTGGCGTCGATGAGTGCCGATTCAGCGTCAACTAGCGTCGGTCAGTGTCGAGTCGGGAAAGCCAGAAAGATAGCATAGGAGGTTCCCATGAGTTGCCACAGAAGTGCACGGTAGGTTCACTCGGCGTTGGCGTGCCGGCGACGCCGGCGGAGGCGTTCAAGGTTGAGCTCTGCGACGCGGAAGCACCGAGGGACACGGTAACACCGCTGGATCCAACGGAATCCATCCTTGATCGGGGCCGCGATCGGTTCCAGGTTTAATGATCGACGCAAAACTGTGCTCGCGCCGACGCCACACGATTTTGCCGCTTCTTTCTACTGCGGCCTTCGGCCTGGCAGCAGCCGCCCCGCCCGCCACGGACCCCGGGCGGGCTCGGCCCCACGCGGCCGGTTCCTTCCTTTGTTCCCAGGGTTCCTCGGCGCGCCAGCGGAGGAGGAGGAGGAGGAGGAGGCCTGGCTCCGAACCACTCAGGTAGACCTTGCTGTAAAAGGAAGGTACGCCCACCCTCTTGGTTAGGCTGTCGCCTCTCCGTGAGCCCCCAGCCCCTCCTGTATGTAGCATGGCCGTTCAGAATTGGCACTCCGGAGCGGAGACGGCCTGCACATATATAGTACAAGGTAGTAAGAAATAGTTACTATAGTATAATACCACAAATAGAATACAAACACAATATGCTATAACAGAATATAAGATGGAGTAACTTAACATGGTGTATTCTGCAATAGCGCATAATGTAGTACCGTATCACGTACTATCATATGGCAGAGAATAGTAAAACATATCATAATTTGACATACCACAACAAACCATCAAACTAGTATAGTAAAACAGAATGTAAGATGCCATAGTGTGGTATCATATAATATGGCACAGCATGAGTTATAGCAGTAGTATCTACCATGGTATATGATGCGGTATGAACATGGTATGATAGAGTACAGCCTATTATTACATATAACAAAATACTGACCTGCAATACGTGAGAATACAAGTTCAAGTAATGCAACGCAACCTGGCATAACGCAGTAAAAAATATCAGTCAATATGATGAAATATGGTATCATGTAGTTCAATACAGTATCACGCTCTAAACTGGATTGTGATATACGAGAATACAATGGACTGCAAAGTAATGTGATGCGATGGCGATAAAGTTGGATTACTGTAACCGACTAGACTATAACTGGCATACGATATCATTAAATGCCATAGCATACAAGAACTACCAGCATATTACAAAAAAACAGTTCACTGCCATGCATTATCATACAAGTGTACGTATACGGTTGTATAAGACCTTGTAACGCACCATGGTGTAACATGATGGAATACTTATAACTATAGCGAGAGTTATAGCAGAATGCTGTGTACTGGTATCTGCATAGATATATAGAAATGAACTGTGGAATACAATGCAATATTGCACTGCAACGCATTGTGATATATTGGTACGCACTAGGCTAGACTATAAGCTCATACTATAATATAGAATATAGCACAATACCATATGATATAGTAAAATGTGTTGTAACCTAATGTCGTATCTGGTCACATAATGTGATATAAGGTTCGATCTTATAGTGTAAGATATATATATATATATAAAATGTGATATAACCCTCTAAAGCCCCCCCCCCCTCCAGAACAGCTTCGGCAAATCCCCAATACCGCCTTCCCGGGCCTCCCACGGAGCTTCAGGAGAGCCTTGGGACGTCCCATGGCACGCCCAAGAGTGCTCCAAACGGCCCAAGACAGCCTTCCGACGGCCCTCAAGGACACCGACAGCGCACAAGAGAGTGCCAAGAGACCCCCAAGAAGCCCCCAACACCGCCCAAGACAGGCCCAAGGTAGCCCTCGAGAAGCACAAAGTACAATTAATAAACCGAGTGACATTCGGTGGGTCTAATTCTGGGGCCACGACGCGCGTGACGGGTGTGCCGATAAGGGGCGGGGCCGCCATGCGGGCGGTGTCAACGGGGCCGGAGTCCCTAATGGGCCACGAAGAGTGTGAGAGGTGTGCCGAAATTTGTGGTTGGGACGCATGCGGGCTGCGCGACTGGGGCCTTCGGTGAAGCCCCCAGCGGGGCCACGAAGCGTGTGAGGGGCATGCCAAAATGAGAGGCTGGGACGCATGCGGGCTGCGCCACTGGGGCCGTTGGTGGAGCCCCCGGTGGGGCCACAAAAAGTGTGAGGGGTGTGCCGAACTGAGCGGCTGGGACGCATGCGGGCTGCTCCACTGGGGCCTTCAGTGGAGCTCCTTATGGAGGCAACGGAAGCGTGTGAGGGGTGTGCCGAACTGAGCGGCTGGGACGCATGCGGGCTGCGCCACTGGGGTCTTCAGTGGAGCCCCCTATGGAGGCACGAGAAAGTGTGAGGGGTGTGCCGAACTGAGTGGCTGGGACGCATGCGGGCTGCGCCACGGGGGGCTTCGGTGGAGCTCCTTGTGGGGCCACGAAACATGTGAGGGTGTACCGAAATGTGTGGCTGGAACTCACCAGGGCTGCGCCAGTGCGACCTTCGGTGGAGCTCCTTGTGGGGCCACGAAACGTGTGAGGGGTGTGCCGAAATTGGTGGCTGGGACACATGCGAGCTGCGCCGCTGGGGCATTCGGCGGAGTTACGAGGCGTGTGAGGGGTGTGCCGAAATGTTTGGCTAGGACGCATGCGGGCTGCGCTACTAGGGTTTTCGGTGGAGCTTCCTATGAAGCCACGAAGCGTGTCAGAGATGTGCCGGCATGGGTGGTCGGGACGCATGCAGGCTGCGCCGTTGGGGCTTTCGGTGGAGCTCCCTATAGGGCCACCAAACGTGTAAGGGGTGTGCCGAACTGAGTGGCTTGGACGCATGCGGGCTGCGCCACTGGGGCCTTCAGTGGAGCTCCCTACAGTCGGGGCGCTGAAGAAGGAACCCTTTTCGTTGGGGAGGGGCTCGGTGTTCCTTGATTGTTTTACAGTTTGCCCTGGGTTTCCCTGAGGTTTTCCACGGGAAATCAAAGTTCAACTTATAGGGAAAAGGGGGCCCGTTCCTTATTTGGGGTTCTTTCGGTCAACGCCCCGACTGTATGGAGGCACGAAAACGTGTGATGGGTGTGCCGAAATGAGTAGTTGGGGCCTTAGGTCGAGCTCCCTATGGGGCCACGGAAGCGTGTGAGGGGTGTGCCGAAATGTGTGGCTGGGACGCAGGCGGCTGCGGCACTGCCACTGGGACCTTCAGCGAAGCTCCCGATGGGGCAACGAAACGTCCGAGGGGTGTGCCGAACTGAGTGGCTGGGACGCATGCGGGCTGCACCGTTGGGGCCTTCGGTGGAGCTCCCCATGGGGCAACGGAAGCGTGTGAGGGGTGCGCCGAAACGTGTGGTTGGGACGCATGCGGGCTGCGCCATTGGGGCCGTTGGTGGAGCTTCTTGCTGGGTCACGAAACGTGTGAGGCTTTGCCGAAATGAGCGGCTGGCACGCATGCGGGCTGCGCCACTGGAGCCTTCGGTGGAGCTCCCTATGAGGCCACGAAGCGTGTGACGGGTGCGCCGACATGGGTGGTTGGGACGCATGCGGGCTGCGCCATTGGGGCCGTTGGTGGAGCTCTCTATGGGGCCACGTAAGCGTGTGAGTGGTGTGCCGGAATGGGAGGTTGGGACGCACGCGGGCTGCGCTACTGGGGCCTTCGGTGGAGCTCCCTATGGGGCCACGAAACGCGTGAGGGGTGCGCCTGCGATCATGATAACGATGATGGTGATGATGACCGCGACGATGATGATGGTGATGGTGTTGCTGCTGCTGCTGCTGCTGATGACGATGTTGTTGTGGCTGATAACGATGATGATAACGATGATGATGATGATGATGATGATGATGATGATGATGATGATGATGATGATGATGATGATGATGATGATGATGATGATGATGATGATGATGATGATGATGATGATGATGGAGATGATGAAGATGATGATGGTGATGGTGACGATGATGATGATAGTGGTGATGGTGATGGTGATGGTGATGGTGATGGTGATGTTGATGGTGGTGGTGGTGGTGGTGGTGATGGTGATTGTGGTGGTGATGATGATGATGACGACGATGATAATAATGATGGTGATGATAGTGATGGCGTTGATGACTGCGGAGGGCAGAGGCAGGGATGTTACGAGGGATGAGGGGGAGGAGGACGGATTGAGGGAGACGGGGCGGCGTCTCTTCAAAACGAGGACTCAACACCACAGGATGATTAGGAAAAAACTTAAGGAAGTTGTTTCATTTTCACCTCCGATGCGCTTCTGAGGCTTAGGCAAGA